CTACTACTACTACTACTACTACTACTACTACTACTACTACTACTACTACTACTACTACTAATAATAATAATAATAATAATAATAATATAGACCATTGGGTTTTAGAGCCGTGTGTGTATGTATGTGTGTATTTTGGCATGATCTAAACTCTAGGTGACACAGCAACTTTATAGTTTGTTTAAAACTATACATTGACTCACAAAGAGGATCTCTAAGTAAGTTAATTCTGTTTGTTCACTAACAGATAGGCAGACGTTTATGCCTCGCGCTGTGGGTGAGGAGCATAACAAGTAATCAGAGCAACACAGAACAGTGGTAGATGTTTTTACTCCCTCCTCACCGGAGGTTAAGGGAGGCTCTGGCTGCTAAAGTCTTATCAGATTGAGGTGGTGGTTCAAAGAGCTGACTCAAGATACATGAAGCCTGGTGCTGCTGAGGCATTCAAGTGATATTAGCATTATTGCTAACATGTAAAGCAGTAACAAACTTGCTAGCTGTTCCCAGGGGCGTGTCTGAGAGAGAGGCTTTTATACCAGAACATGGCAGCTGTGATGAAAGCATTTAGTTTTAACAAAAAGAAAATTCAACTGCAGTACCACTATTCAACCTATAGTATGCAGCACTAAGATGTTTTTAGACCAAATATTGCAGATTTGAACAAATTTACACAAAAACATCAACAGAATTAGTACTATATGACCTTTAAGACACAATTTAGACTGTTTATTTAACAAAAAAAGTTAATTTTGGGGTTACCGTAGTTACTTTTTCAACAGGCCTCCACACTTTAGATTTGTCTACTTGTAATATGATCAGTCAGGATGAGTGTTAGCACCAGGTGTGAACAGACACTCCAATTATTTACTCAAACTCACCTGGAGTCGTTAAAAGTGTACCACTCCCCTGAGTTGGGGTTGCGACAGAAAGCTGTGTAGTGGCCACCCATGGTGGTACCTGAGTGGTTGGACACTGCATACAGGTTGTAGACAGCATTCGCTGTAAAAAGACAAAAACAAAACAGCAGTCACTCAAAAGTGTTTGTTGGATTCATGCGTTGTTCTATTCCCTTCAGATCATTTAAAAGACACACAGAGGTAGAGGAGCCAGGCAGGCTGTCTTGTGAAAGACTCCTACAGTGTCGAGGCTCATTGATGATAATGAGCAGATAGTGAGTAAACCACACCCACTGCTCGCAGGATTAAACACCAAGAAACAGATTTATTACTGAGGGAATATTAAAGATGATGCCGTACAGTTTGAAAAATATTGAACCCCAAAAGAATTGCTAAAGTAAATTAATTCAGGTTTTTATGCGATTTACAGGAGAACACCATCCATGTGTCAGCCTAGTTGAATTCTGCTCCATGCCTCTTTTAGTTCCATGCTGCCAGGTCCATTTCTGAACAAGTACCAGAGTGACACAGGCAATTTCATGGAGGTGGAAGATTTTTACCACCCCTCGTCACCTGAGGTTGAAGGAGGCTTTGTGGAGCCCAGCGAGCTTTATTTGTTTGAGCCAGTGGCTCAAGGTGCTGACTCAGCAATGCCCAAAGTAAGTGCTACTGAGGCAGTGGAGGACAGAATGGGTCCAGCTTCTGAATGGTAAAGTGATGTTAGCAGCATCATTACTAATCATTACTGTTCAAAGCAGTAACAAATGTTCATTGCAATGCTCGCTATCCCAAGTCTTGACTCAAAGGGACTTGTCTCTGCGCGAGAAGCTTTTATACCCCAACCTGGACCTGTGACGTAGACATGATCCAAGCTGTACCTTTGTCACCAATAACTGCAATAGCCACCATTCAACCCATAGTTTTTTACACAAAAAATATCAAAATTTCCACAGAAACATAAGGCCCAATTTAGACAGTTTATCTGCAAAAAAAAGTTGACTTGGTGTTTAGCTACTCCTCAAGTTAGTTACTTACTACTGCTTTCAGAGGCAAACTCTCGCAGGTTAAGATCCTTCAGAGGAAAATGAACAAAAGTGGACAATTTGCTTGATCTTTGTCCCTCAGAGAACCGTTTCAGGTCTGTGGGTGGAGGAAAGTTAAGGAGCATCTGCTACAGTTAACACAAAAACTGCATAAAAAGGTCTCTGACAGCATCTTCAATCCAAACATGAGGCCATTTATATCTTTGTGTCAAAACTCCACCGTCACAAACATGGGCGTAACCGCCACAGGTACAGGGTGGGACATGTCCCCCGCACTATGCACTCTGTCCCCCTCCAATACACACACACACACACACACACACACACACACA